GGTCTGAGCTATCATTTTTGGCGTCATCAGTATACAAATATAGAGATTGCATGAAACCATCAAAGACTGTATAGAGAAAAGAGTTTCTAAGCACTTAACCTTAGGAGCTCTAGGGTTAACACCTCTGAAAAAAGAGGAGATGCCAGCAAAGGAGACAGAAAGGAGCACCCAGTGAAGAAAGAGTAAAATTAAGAATGTATGGTGTCCTGGAAGTGAGTATGGAACTGCTTCAAGGGCCAGAGAGTGACAATGGTGACAACGTTACCAACGGGTGAAGCGAGATGCATGAAGTGAGGTGAGCACTGGCGAATGACTGCTGGATCGATACCGGTGACCTGGACAGGAATGGTTTTGGCGAAGTATTGAAGACAAAATATGGATATGAATGGGTTTAAAGAAAAAGTATGAGGAGAGGAATTAGAGAGACAGGAAATAGACAACACTTCCATAAATTTTTGCCTTAAAGGGAAGCAAAGAGATGACTTAATCTCACAAACATGATATTAAGCAAAACAATCTATGTAAGAATGCCCAACTATATTCATATAAAATATTTTTATATATGTGTATGTGTATAAACACAGATATACATATATTTTAGAAACAGGGTCTTGCTCTGTTGCCCAGGCTGCATGAACCCTATAGCAAACTGTGCGTGTGATGGATCTAGGTTGCACACTCCTTATGACAACCATAGCTCATTGCAGCCTTGAACTCCTAGGCTCAAGTGAGCCTCCTGTCTCAGCCTCCCAACTAGCTAGGACTATAGTGGTGGTGATGAAGTGGTCTTCCCTAGGTATAGGCAGTAAGGAGGAGAATTACCTGTAGAGAATTTAAAAGCAATAGTAAAACTGATGAAGGGCCTGTCTGCATTTTATTGTTGCCATGTACTAGCAATTCTAAATAATGATGGTGATAAAGTATGCTCCCCACCAGGTGGGCTGCTACTCCTCCCGGCTTGGCATGCCACCCTGGCAGTGTCTAACTAATCACCTTTACCTTTTCCAGAACAGTACAAAAATCTTTGGTTTTGAACATTCTTCTAATCTCTAATTTATTACTGTCCAGAATGTTAGTCTTATGTTTTTGAAAACTCTTCAAGATATAAAAAGTTAACTACTGTTTTACATGGCCAGTGTTGAGATTTACTCACGTGTTTTCTGTTTCACATTCCCTCTTGCATCATATGCCTTCTTTTGGGGTAATTTTCCTTCTTCCTCGAGTGCATCCTTTAGCAGCTGCTTTTGGAAGAGTCTGTTACACCCTTACTGAGTGAGTGTGTCTCACTCACTCCATTTCTGTTTGTCTGAAAAGTCTTTATTTTACTCTCATTTCTTGAAACGTTTTCCTCTTTGTGTACAATCCTAAGCTGGCAATTATTTTCTCCAGCACTTTGAAGGCATTATTCCACTACCTTTCTGGCTTCCATTGTGTGCCATTGAGAAGTCATTTGTCAATCCAATTATCATTTTTCTGTAGGCGATGCTCTTTTTATTCTTCTGACTGTTTATAAGATTTCTTTTTCTTTGGTATTCTGTAGTTTCACTACGGTGTGTTTAGATTTGAATTTCTTTTCATTTACTCCTTTGGAGAGCTGTTAGGCTTCCTAAATCTAATTCATGCCTTTCATCTCGTCTGCAAAATTCTCCATGGATATTTCTTTGTCTGTCTGTCATTTCTATCTTATTATCTCCCCAAGGAACTTCAAATAGACCTTTGTGGAACTTTCTCACTCTAATCTCCATATGTTTTAATAATTTTTTCACTTTCATCTCTGTGCTGTATTCTAAATGAGCTCTTCCAGTTTAATATTTTCTTCTTTATTGCTCTTAACTTCTCCATAGCTCTTGTTTATTAAGCTTCTATTCTTGACTACAGTCACGCATCCTTAATAACAGGGATATTTCTTGAGAAATGCACTGCCAGGTGATTGTGTCATTGTGCAAACATCATATGGTAGACTTATACAAACCTAGATGGCATAGCCTGCTACATACTTAGGCTAAATGGCATAGCCTATTGTTCCTAGGCTATAAACTTGTACAGCCTGTTACTGTACTGAATGCTGTAGACAATTGTAACACAATGGTAAGCATTTGTGTATCTAAACGTATTTACACATAGAAAAGATACAGTAAAAATACATATAAGGGATAAAACATGGTACACCCGTACAGGGCACTTACGTGAACGGAGCTCCAGGGCTGGAAGTTGCTCTTTTAGGATCTTGCTCTGTCACCCAGGCTGGAGTGCAGTGGCACAGTCTCGGTTCACTGCAACCTCCACCTCCCGGGTTCAGGCGATTCTCCTGCCTCAGTCTCTGAGTAGCTGGGATTACAGGCACCTGCCACCACGACTGGCTAGTTTTGTATTTTTAGTAGTGACGGGGTTTCACCATGTTGGCCACACTGGTCTTCTACTAAAAATAACAAAAAAAAAATTATCCGGGCCGTGGTGCAGGCTGCCTGTGGTCCCAGCTACGATGGGGAGGCTGAGGCAGGAGAATGGTGCGTGAACCCGGGAGCGGGCTTGCAGTGAGCTGAGATCCGGCCACTGCACATCCAGCCTGGAGTGGACACAGCGAGACTCCGTCTCAAAAAAAACAAAAGAAAATTACCTATCACCTAGGTGGACATCGCTAGGACATCATGATGTTGTATAGCAGCATTACTATGTGTTTGTGGGTGATCCAATGTAAAACCAAACTACTCGCACCTGGCATAGTCTTATAAAATCTAGCCACGCTGCAATTACGTAGCACCCACATAACACATATATAATAATTAATAATAAGTGCGGCCAGGCACGGTGGTTCACCGCCTGTAAATATCCCAGCACTTTGGAGGCCGAGGTGGGCAGGCAGACGTCACCCCGAGTTCAGGAGTTCGAGA